TGGTGTGACGGTAATTGTCATCTATAAGTGATTTGTGATTGTAGTGATAGTGGTGTGACGGTAATTGTCATCTATAAGTGATTTGTGATTGTAGTGATAGTGGTGTGACGGTAATTGTCATCTATAAGTGATTTGTGATTGTAGTGATAGTGGTGTGACGGTAATTGTCATCTATAAGTGATTTGTGATTGTAGTGATAGTGGTGTGACGGTAATTGTCATCTATAAGTGATTTGTGATTGTAGTGATAGTGGTGTGACGGTAATTGTCATCTATAAGTGATTTGTGATTGTAGTGATAGTGGTGTGACGGTAATTGTCATCTATAAGTGATTTGTGATTGTAGTGATAGTGGTGTGACGGTAATTGTCATCTATAAGTGATTTGTGATTGTAGTGATAGTGGTGTGACGGTAATTGTCATCTATAAGTGATTTGTGATTGTAGTGATAGTGGTGTGACGGTAATTGTCATCTATAAGTGATTTGTGATTGTAGTGATAGTGGTGTGACGGTAATTGTCATCTATAAGTGATTTGTGATTGTAGTGATAGTGGTGTGACGGTAATTGTCATCTATAAGTGATTTGTGATTGTAGTGATAGTGGTGTGACGGTAATTGTCATCTATAAGTGATTTGTGATTGTAGTGATAGTGGTGTGACGGTAATTGTGGTAGCGGCAACAGTTGTGTGATTGTGGCGGTGGATGTGTGATGGTGGTGTTATTGTTATAGCCAGCAAATATTTTTTGCATTTAAAAAGACAGAAAATATATATCATCAGAAAATACAACCAAAACATTGATGTTGTTTACTCTGTAGTTCACTCTTATTGATGTTTTTGTGTACTAGTCATACTCTTTTTACCTTTGTGTACTACTTAGACCTTGTTTGGCAAGTGGCTGTTTTAGTTAAAAAGTAAAAAAATTACTAAAAAAATAAAAAAACTGACAACTCATACCAAAAAGTTAAATATTCTATTTTCTCTCTATTTTTTACACATCTTTTAATAAAAAATTAAAAAGATATCCCAAACATATTAATTTTTTTTACCTCATATTTTAACCCAAAAGCTAAAAAGTTACTAAAATAGCATATTTCCAAACGAGGCCTTATACTCTTTTCACCTCAATAAAATTTTATTTGTCAATAAAAAAATAATAAAAAATCAAAACAAAACTAGCAGGATGTAAGTTTTGAAAAGCAAAAAAAACGCATGAAGTGGTATGCTCCATAAATGAGAGTTTAGAATTAGGATGATTGCTTACGTTTTTTTTGTTAGGGTAATAACATTTTGTCTTTATGTTGGGTCATTTTTCCATTTTGATCTTTGAAGGATTTTTTTTATTTTTATTTTTTCATTTTGGCCATCAAGTTTTTTTGACCTTTTATGTTTCAAATTTTTCTTTCTTTACTTCTAAAACTAATCTCTATTTAAAATTAGACAAAAAATATTACATTAGATTTCACATAACATGAAAAAATATATTATCGTATTGGGGTTTGAATTTGTATCACAAATGTGAATTAGTTATAATAAAATATTTTTTATATTATGTGGTTGTCAATAGGGGTGCAACTCGGGTGGGTTCGGTCGGGTTGGGAGGTTGTCCAAGCCTAGCCCAAGTTGTGCTGAGACCTGCCCAAGCCCGAATTGTAACCCGAGGTTGTTTGTCCAAGCCTGACCCGAGTTAAACTCGAATTGCCCGAATTGTAAATGAATTTCAGTTTTTTTTTTCCTAGCTACATTATTAAATTATTAAAATTTGACCCTATTTATAATTTTTTTAAAAAAAATAGAAAATCATTAATACCATCAAAACAAATAATTTATATAATGTAAAAGAGATGCCACTATAGTAGTCCTTACAATTTATGAGTGAAAATAAAAAGAAAAAAAAGTAAGATTTTATGTTATTTATATATATAATATGTATTCAATATGATTTAATAATATAAATTACTTTAATATCATGTAATGGCTAATAATTTATATATATATTTAATATTTTTATATATCTATATATGTATAATTTGGGCTTCGGGTTGCTCGGGTTGCTTGACGTCTTTGCTCAAGCCCGCCCAAATTTAATTCGGGCTTCTAAATTTTTGCCCAAGCTCATACTGAATTTGAAAATATTTTGTCCAAGCCCTAAAAAAATTCGGGCTGGGCTCGGGTTGCTCAGGTTGAGCCCGTCCAAGTTGCACCCCTAGTTGTCAATGTGTCATTTTTTATTTAATTTTAGACATAAATTAATTTTTAGAGTAAATTTAAAAAAAAAAAACATGAAATGTAAAAGGCCAAAGTGCCCAAAAAAAATAAAAAAAATTAAGAGTAAAATAGGAAAATGGTAAAGGGCCAAAGTGTAACCTACTCTTTTTTATTATTTGTTTTGTTTTTTCTTTCTATTTCTTTTTTTGGTGGTCAATGACACGTGAGAGAGTGTTAGACGTGTGAAGTAAACTTTTAAAATTCATCCAGCAGTCTCTTTAAAGGAAGATATTCCCAAATTTATGAAGCAAAAAAAGAGAGTCACAGCTCATCACATAAAACTAAAAATTAATTTCTCTCTCCACTTCCTACTCTTGAAATCACAAATACATTTTCAGTGAGATCCTAAAAAGGATCGCATTAAAATTATGAACCCATCTGTCCCCATCCGTTGTCGCACAACGGGAAAAGTAGGAATTAGCGGCGTTTTAGGCCAAAAAAGCCACAAAAATATAAAGTGACATTTATAAAATTCGTCGTGGATGTGGCCGCCGTCATAACTTTGTGGCATTTTAAAAATGCCACTAAAGAATTTAGACGACGTTTTTTAAAGCACCACTAATTCTTAACATCTGTTAACATTGTCTGTTAGAAAGGGTAACTATGACGTAATCATGACGATATTTTGCAATGTTTTTATGAAAAATGCCACCTTTTCTGTTTGTTTTTTTTTTTTTATAAAAAAATTCATAATTAATGATGTTTTTAACTTTTGCTCAAAACAAACCTATTCGTATTATCCATCACCATCACCATCACCATCACCATCACCATTTTCAAAATATATACCATAATGTGAGTCAGTATCCATTTTTCAATTTTCCATGACTTAAAAAAAAAAACCTTAAAACACAATATGTTAACTCAATACAAAATAATAATAATAAAAAAAAATTACTAATATTTTTACATTTGAATAAAAAAAAAAAATGGAGCGTGCTCTCCAAACTCTGAAAATAACTTCATCTTCCAATCATCCAGCCCTCTTCAGCAAAATGACGATATCTACCTAAATCATCCTTCCATTCTTTGTCATTCTCAAGATCATAAAAGCTTTTTTTTACTATAATCAAAAGGAAAAAAAGACAAACTCAATTTGATTAGACAAAAGTTAGGCAAAAAAAAAACAGACTGGATAATTAGATTCTTACAGTAGCCATTGACTATCAACCCAATAAATATTAGCCATTGAGCATGCCATTATCAGTTGAAGACTAAAAAATGATGATCTTAAAAGTGCTATTGCGCAAAAATGATTCGTCATGCAACCCAGTAAGTAAAAATTTGCAAAATCTATCACTAACCCATCCTGCAACCTAACAATTAATATATATGCATTATCCATCATTAACCCATTTCCTTTAACGTCAAGCACAACAAAGCATCACTAAACATCTAACATAAATAAATTTATAACTGCAAATATACACAATCTCATTACTAATTTTGAGATCATATTTTGTGTAATGCTTCATTTAACCAGTAAATCACATTCGAAAGATGAATAGTCATTGTCCTTTTTTTTTTGTTCCTGATAAATTTAAATTTTGTGATCAGGTTAGCAAAATAATGATCAAGATTCATCCAAATTGCATTTGTTTTGCTAATTACAACAGAGAACAGAATTTGTGTCTAGCACTAATCTTTAATAAGAATTTATAACAAATAGTTAAAAAGAAGTTTTAAAAAAAATTGCATTAAAGATGAGCATCTTACACATCTGTTAAGATGGTTGCTTCCATCACTATGTCCTGTAATAGATTGAAAACAGAAGTTTCATGAATACATGATCAGATGATGATGGGTAGTTTCGTTACAATCTTGAAGCACTTTGAGAAATTATATTGGTTCAAAGTGCACACATATTGTACACTAATTATATTACTCGTACACATATTGTACACTAATTATGAATGTTATTGGATCCACACTGGAAATTTCTTTAATTACTATGAAATCACATTCATTAAATAGAAGCCAGATGCTTTACCTTTATTGTGTCTTTTGTGAGAAATTATTTAATATGGAAAATGTTATACGTCCTAAATTTTCTACCAAATAAATTATTAAATATCTCATATAGGTGTGGGGTTTACAAAATTACGGATTCTACACCCATGCGAGATATTTGGTCATTTATTTGGTAGAAAATTTTGTATCTCACTGCAGGAAATTTAACTTTTAGTGGCGTTTAAAAAACGCCTCTATAAGTGTCAAAAACGCCGCCAATTCTTTTTGTGACACTTATTACCAAACGCCGAGGACGCGGTCGTCGCTATAGCTTTATGGCGTTTCAAAAACGTCGTGATATTAGTATAGGCGGCGTTTTTAAAAACGCCGCAAAATGTCCTATTGAATACATGCTGACGTCACTTACAATATTTAGTGACGTTTTGAAAAAACGCCGTCATATATTTTTCAAAAAATAACCATTAATATGTAGGGTTTAAGAGGCGTTTGTAGAAACGCCGTCATATCCTCCTCTTTTTTTTAAAAAAATATTATGCTAATTTTATTTGATTAAACTAAAAAAATACAAATCATTCCAAATATAAATAACACCCAGCTCATTAACCCAAATTGTTGATCATTTTAATTCCATTTTATCCACATAATTTCCCATTTAGCGCAATTAAGCAACAAATTTACAACCCTAGACTTCATATCAAATAAAAAAAGGCATTCAACCACAATGGTCAATTGCTCTTCTTCTTCCTGCTAATCATACTCCCTCTAGGAGTAAATCAGAAAGAAAACCCATGAAAGTGCTAACACAAAATCACCAACTAACTGCCTTGGCCAATCTCGAGCCAAATTGTCGAGTCTCCTCTCAAAATACACCCTCCAGAGGGCCATTGAGACATGAAGAAGAACACAACCTTTGGCAAAGAAACTTTGAAATGCTCTGTCCTCAACAAAAGCTACCATGAACAGCAGTAACCCAATCACAAATAGAAGCAACCCGGCAAACGAATCAGATATTTGTATCAACAACTGGTCGTGTGGTGTTGATCCCATAAGCTTTTGAGTTGTTTCGGTACCATGGCCGAAAACACAGATTTCTTTGAGATAAAACATTATCAGAGCACCATAGATTAGAGTAATAGCTGAATGGAGCATACAGATTGTGAAGAATCGATCAAAAGCTAAAAGCCCTATCTTGTGAAGTAAATTTCTATAAACCCAGTATCATTTACAGTATTGATTCCCTAAAATTGGGATTGAAAAACATATCCCCAAAAAAAAGAAAAGAAATTAAAACTTTAATCCCAAACTTGTAAGCCAATTTCCAGCTCCAAAGTCCAAACCCTACCAAAAATATACATAGCAAATAGTTGGTCATTAAGAGAAATTACTATAAACCCAGTATGGTTTACAATGTTGATGATCTGGAAACTGTGATTGGAAGTGGAAACTCCAAGCTTAGATCAGTGTCTTCATAGGCATTGCTCTCATCCTGAAAACCCCCAAAATTCAACTATTTATAGAGTGAAAAATGAATTTGATGTATTTACATGAAAAATCAAACCAGACAAGAAAGCTCCTTACTCTGCTTTCTACTTCTCTAATTTCATCAGTTTCTGAACTGATAATAAACTGCTTCATGTCATTATCAATCAGCTTGCATGCTGAGTCAAAGAAAAACAGAGAAATATGATTTAAGTTGTTACTAATAAATAAATAAATAAGGAAACAACATATCTATAGTAAGAAATTTTTTTTTTTTTATAAATGATGCCAAAACTTTTTTAAATACTAAGCATAAGCTATATTAATGGCTGTTTCCATCTTGTCCCCTGTAAGAACCCAAATCTGATTCCAGAAATAAAAAATTATTTGTTCAAAACCGATGCATACCTCATCCAATTTTTTCTCGCGGAACTATTAATATTAAAGGAACTATTTGTGATCCACCCTTGAGCAGGTCAAATACTGTAACAGTGTGATCTCTACCTCAATTGAAACATAATGAGAAATGGGGATAATTGGTGAATACAAAGTAATTAGGGTAAACATATTTAAAAAGGCAACCTGTAAAAGAAATAAACAACATCAATAACGTGAGGGCACACCGCCTAATTACTAAAGTAAGGAAAAAGAGGTTGAAGAGCTTTGAAGTTAGATTTCCTATACAAGAGTTGAGAAGATACAAAAGCAGAAATAATGAAAGAAAATTGTGTTACTCACAATAGGAGGAGGCATCCATTTGATATCCCAAAGGAAGTCTGTATGTTCCAACAAGCTTGGTACCCGTTAAGTGGTGGGTGGAACATTGGCTGGTCAAGCAAGTCTGGAAAGTAACTTCCAATAAAACCCTGGTCTGCGCCATCTGGGTTATTTCTCCCAATGTCCAACTCATGAAGCATGTCATTAAATACCTTCATTGATGGCTGCAATTCCATATTCCAAATAAAAATCTCAGTTTCTATAAAACATGTAGCTTCTTTTTTTTTAAATTTTTTTTATTGGAAAATCAATTCGTTGAAATTTTGTTGATATTCAAACATGAGTTTTGAGAAGCTAAGAGTGACAAAGAGCTAAGCTAATTTTATCACTTTTCCATTCCCTTTTCCTTTACTTCCACAAATCCCTGCTCAAATCTAAGATCCAAACTCAGTGTAAAACATCTAAAAGAACTCTATAAGAAATTGTATTAATGTTCAGTGAATCGCATCTCTGAGCAGTACACCATCTAGAACATGATTCAGAGGAGGTAGATTTGAGTAGCTGTAGGAAAACCCCAACACAAAAATGTAAGAGGACCTCTAATACAAAGAGGCCAGTATGGAAGATGCAGGGGTTGATAAAAACTGCACAAAACTGACCACATTTGAATAACTCGTCTGTTTTTTGGAGGAAGAGGTTGTCAGAATCAAGCATAACCACCCTGTCATAGTCCACTAGTTTCCACGCATAGAGTTTGTTCAACGTTAACTTGAATCTCCTGTCAAAATTGCGTTGATTCTTGTATGGATTGTTCAGATTCTCTACGCTCATCACCTTCGCCCCATCTTCCTGTTAGGCCATTTTCTCTAGTTAGATAGATTTTTTTTTTGACTTGCATGTGTATGAGAGAGAGAGAGAGAATGGAAGAAGTATGAAGCATAAAAAGAAGGAGAAGAGAGGAGAAGATGAGATAAAAAAGGGTGTCAGACTATTACCATGTTTAGGTTCAAAACAAAAAAACATTGAAGAATGTTTCTAGATTTATATATACATGAACCAATACAAGGAAAGGCCAGTGACGAAGGAACTTTACCCCAATCAAGACCTAGAAGAGACAAAGAAAGACATTTTCTGTTAAATGCAAGAAGAAATTACTAAGCATTAGTCATTTTTTCGCAATCAATGGCACATGGTAACAGTAATTTATTACCTTCCCTTCAACATGCATGCGCATCAAATGCAACTTTGCCCGCATTCCAAAACCCAATCTCTTACTTAATTTCACAGCAAGTATTGCACTCATATCATCTGCAGTTCAAAAATTCATTCCCAACTCCAAAACCTGCATTTAACGAATTTCAACTATTATTCTGTCTACGAAACAGATTTTGACTAGAAGTAATACATTATTGACATGAATCCACCGTGACTAAGACAGTATTACATACCAAGTGGTCGTGATCAGTGGTTTGATGAAGAACCCTCATTTCTGTGAACACAGGAGGTGATCGTCCCATATACAGATGCTGAACCAGAAAAATGGAACAAGGACAGCAATTAATCGTATTTAGGATGGTAGACTCGTACCACAGTCCATGGTTTGTACTTCTCCAAGAACCAAGGTATGCTAGGGAGGAGAATTTTCTGTGAAACAATGGGCTCCATACAAACAGGCCAAATCTTTTCAACCACATGGTTCAACCACCGCACAGTTTCAGAATCAAAGAGTACCTTTAGAAAAGAAAAAAAAAAAAAGTTGAAATTATAAACATTTATACATATTCATACGGGCAAGAAAGTAAATTCTCAGAAGGAATCTCAATATCTAACTGCATACATATATGTACATAGCAACATACATACATAGAGATAATAAAAAAGATGCAAAGAAAAAATGCCACATATTTGTTCGAGAAGTTAACTTTTTTATCCTCAAATTATAAAGTTGTTAATACAACTTCAACAGTATGTCTTCCAATCAAATTTGATCAGGTAAAGCAGTTCAAAACAGCACAATGTTAGGGTCTTCAAGTCCTGGTTTCACTGTCCTTAGTACAAACACCAAAAAATCACCATGAACTTTCTTTATTACCCATACTTCTTTCCATTTCATGGTAACTAATATATACTCAAAAAATCATAATCATCATACAACAAATAAAAGCATCAGATTGCCTTACCAAATTATGAACAAAGTTGACTTAATTAAGGTTTATTTTCGAAACCGAGAAAATTAGGATTTTTGCTTATATGGATTATGACAGAACAATGTTAGGGTCTTCAAGCTCTGGTTTCACTGTCCTTAGTACATAAGATTATTAGTGGTAGCCAAAAGGAAATGGGACAATGATGACTTATGATTAAGGTAGGTGACTTGGTTTTCTCTTTGTGAGGGGTGTGAAAGAAGGTTGTTGCTACTAAGTTATGTTTGATTCTCAAGAAAAGGCAAGAAAAAAAGAAAAAAAAAAGAAGGTGAAATCATTTGATTTTTGCTTGTTCACTTTAGGGATATTGGCAACAAAGTGGCAATCCCTTGTTCAGAAAGCTTCATTTCTAAGGCAATATGATCTTTGTTTCATATACTAAACATCTTGAGAAAAGCTCAAAGCAAAGACCAATGTGTGATGATTGTTTCCAAAATCAAAATGACAGCAAAACACTAAAGCAAGAAACTTATATAGCATAAAGGTTAGCCACACATAAACCCATAAATTCTATGACGATGTTTCACTAAGCCAATAGTCAAAAGATCTTTTGGAGTCTTACCATATTCCTTCTAGGATGCTGAAGTGGTGATTTTGCAGACAAAGATGAGGAATCACAACCAGCCTTTGCTTTATTTGAAGAACTTTTAGTATTTTTAAAGGGGTCTTGTATTCTTGCACTCTTTTGAACAATATATATCTGCAGAAAAAATAAGTTACAGATCACAGAGAGACACATCAATTTCATTTATTGCAGATAAACATTAAACAAATTATTACAGATTCAATGCCTTTAAAAATTAATACTATTACAATAATAACCTGGTTAGCCAATCTAATTATTCTTTGAACAAATCCATTTTTTTCTGATGCGGGCAACAAATTTGATTCAACAAACGGTCTAGTATGATCAGCAAAAATTGACGTATACCTGTTTGACCAATCTAATTATGCTTTGAGTGGCTTGTACTGAGCACATTATTCTTATTGGATTTAGGAAGTGAATGAGCACCTGACCTTGAAGCAGGTATTTCATTTTTTCGACTCAACTCTGCACCGAAAGTGTAGTGTTTTTCTGCGATCGATCTATACAATTAAAATCAATTAAAGTTTCACTTCTTTCTCGAGAACCGAGATTAAAACTAGAAACTCTCAACCGAAACTCAAAAAAGAAAAAAAAAAGAGTGGAAAAGTAGTAAAATTATGAACACGTGAGAAAGGAGAAGAAAGAAGAGCGATGAATTGAGAAAATGTAGAGAGGACATAATCGAATCAAAAGAATACTGACTCACGAATACCTGGATCACAGCATTGCACTGTTTACGAATGCCTATGAACTACATAATGCCTATGAGAATTGCACTGTTTAGAGCTGAATAAACTTAGAAAATGAATAAATTTACTCGTCCATAACTGGTAAAAATGGTTATCCCTAATCAAAGCATGGGAAGAAAGTGAGAAGTCAAAAGCAGAGAACAACTAAGATTTTTTTCAAATATATGATGTTATTTCAGAGGTAATGAGAAGTTTTCTCAGCAACCAAACAAAGGATCGAAAGCACAATCTAGAGTTCTGAGATTGTAGAGCTCTGAGATTGTAAAACAAAGGACCGAAAGCACTAAACTCTGATTGAAGAGATGAAGAGTTCCAAATCGAACTTCGAAATCACAGAGCTGAAGCAGATTTTGAAGGATTCGATTGGTTTTTCTGAGATTGTAGACGGCGGTGCTCAAAATCGAACTTCGAAATTGCAATCGCTCTGAGAAACTACGAGATTGAAGCCATACGGTTGCAGATAGGTTGGGTCTGAGAAACTTAGAAATCGCAATCGCTCTGAAGAAGAATCGAGAGAGAGCAAGAGAGTGAGAGATTTGAGTGAGTGATAACTTCGAACTTGACGGCGGTGGGTTTTCAAAATAAAGGTGTGGAGAGACAAAATAGGGTTTGTCATTTGGAGGAGCTTCCAAGCGTCTTCTATTGATAAAACGGGGCCGTTTTGATTAACAACAAAAGCGGCGTTTAAAAAACGCCGTTAATTATTTAAAAAAGTGACGTTTCATAAAACGTCGTTAATTAAACGCCGTAAAATCTCTAATTTCCTGTAGTGTCTCCAACATTACCCATTCAATATTCCTTAAGGAAGTTAATCTGTAAATGGAATAGAGTAATTTTCCTGAAACATTGAATAATTTCTCGTCTTTTGTGGGTTGACCTTGAAATTATTGTTATATTCTAAACTATTTAAACATATTTTTATAATCTAAACTATTTAAATGTGAAGTATTAGTCTCGTAGTCAAGGCTTAGAATATGAAGTATCCAAACTATTTTTTTTGGAGTCTACTCAGTGAAACTGAACCCGTTTATTTTATAGGACTTATATAGTCAATTAGCTTTTCAAATTGGATAAGTTTTTTATTTTATGGGGTCATATTATATCATTTTGTGATAAAAATTAATTTATGATGTGTATCTTCAATTACTAGACTAAAAGAAAAGTTTTTGAGAGGGTAATTTATAAATAAATTGGGCCGAGCTAAGGAATTGTCTTTTTTTTTTTTTTTTAAATTGGGCCGCACAGTAGGCCGGGGTAAGAGATGATATAGCTCGGTCTAAGAGCTAACTAGTTGGGCCTAGTTGAGGTTCGGACCGAGCTAAGTATCACACATAATCACGCTGAGATAAGGACGCCATTCTACATAGCTAGCTCGGTCTCAAGTTATTAGCCCAGTTGGAGTGTGCTAAATCGAGGTACAAGCAATGAAAGGAAGAACCGAGCTAGTTGGAGCCCGGTCAGATTTGCCGCTCTAGCATGGCCATGTTAGCTCGGTCGTTTTGTCATACTACCGAGGTAAAACCATCTCACTTGGTTAGAGCAGTGAGGGGGGTGTTGAAGGATAAGCATTATCTTCCAGGAGTGTGATTCCTAGGAAGACTCTAATCGGAGGAATAAGAGTCTTACTAGGATTATGCCACGTGGAACCTATAAAAGCTCACAACATAACCTATGTAGAGGTAACACAACTTTGATTTTCGAATACACAGAACTTTTGTCTATTTGTCTATTTTGCTGACTTAGGCATTGGAGAGGTATCCGGCACACACCCACCGGCTAGCTCACGTTTGTGTTTTCAGGGATTAAAGCGACGACGTTTGGAGGAGCGCAAACTTGATTAACAGGATTATACGAGAAGATTATTTCATGCTCATACAATTGGCGCCATCTGTGGGAATTCCAGAAAGAACAAAACCTCTTGATCAAGTTTGTCCTCTCTAATTGGAAGCAATGGCGCACAATGAAGATTTGCCGCAATCCGCTATCGACGGACAAACCCCAGAGGGGGGTGGGAGGTGCGTAGGTTTTCCTTCTATCCCTCACATGGCGGATTTAAAACCCCAACGACAGAACCCCCGGAGGAATGCAAAGGGGAGGCGGGCTAATAGCCCCTGTCGCTCTCAAAGTCCTGAAAGACAGAGGCAGAGGATGGACCCTCAAGTTCTAGAGGATCGCGTGAAGGAGCAGGACGAGTTAATAAGGAAGATGGCAGCAGACATGGAGTCAATGAAGCGCCAGATAAAAGGAAAATGGGTGGCGACAGGAGAGGGGTGCAAAGACACCACGCCCCCTTGCCACTCGGAAGATCGTGGTAGGCATACCACACTATCGCAAGCAGAAAGTAGGAGCCTTAGAACAGGCGACACTCAATCAAAGACTTCCAGGACTCGTTACTCCAAGTCTGATAGAATGAGAATTGAGAGGTCATATATTGAGGGAAGCACCTATCGGCCCTCGCACATGTACCAGACGTCATCCAAGCACACAGAGTTGCCTAGATCACTGACTTGCGAATTGTGCTTGAAGAAAGGGCACGATGGAAGGAGGATACCAGGGCACGCGACCCACGTAGAGTTTCAGCCCTTCAGCGGTTGGCTCCTCGGACGCATGGAAGCGTCGAGGTAGGAATGCCAATGCCGCGCCTTGCTTATGAACCAACAGACAAAGCATTAGCAAGGTTACAGAGCTCGCCGTTCGTTCCGACAATAGAGAACGCACCACTACCTTCAGGCTTCCACAGCCCAAATTCACCACTTATGAGGGAAAGACGGACCCCTACATGCACTTGAGTCACTTTCGCCAGGTTATGGCCGTATACCGGTGGAACGAGGCTTTAATGTGCATCCTGTTTCCATCTAGCCTTAGCAACCTAGGCCTAACCTGGTTCGAAAGACTACCAGAAGGCAGCATCGCCTCCTGGGCACAATTGGCAGAGGCATTCGTGACTAGGTTCAGAACGAACACCAAGACACCAGTAGAGATTGATCAGCTACTCTCCATTGACATAGGCGACAAGGAGACGTTAAGATCCTACAACAGGCGCTACTGGAAAACCTTCAACCAGATTGGGGATTGCCCTACAAACCTCGCCATTGCGTAATACAAACGGGGCATGCCAGTCGGCAACAAATTGAGGGACTCAATTACAATGACACCACCCCTCACGATGGAGGCTTTAATGGAGAGAGTGCACCAACATATTCATGTGGAGGAAGATAGCTGCAGACGTCCCCGAACGCCCCGGGAGGACGAGTCCCCCTGTTTTCTGTTCATGTTGGGCTCACTACAGTTCAGGACTCTCAAATTGTCACGGTTCTAAATCTGAACCAAAGAGTCCAAATCCGGCAAATTGTTTTGAGAAAACAGATTTTGAAAGAAGTGCCAAACATGGACTGCTTTGCCAGATACAGAGTCGCCACCTAAATGTTTTATTTTGGGAAAATTTAGGAAACCCTGACTCGTTTGCCTAAGGCCACGTGTCCGTCATCACCAAAGTTGCCTCGGCTCGGGAACTTGGGTACGATTGGGGAAGGTCACTTCGTGAGCACCCCCGCTCGCCCGATCAAAGATCGGCCTCTACTAACCATGATATATATTTTTGAAAACTTTGTGTGTCCTTAATCCGGTTATTAGCCTAGGTTACTATGTGATGCACACAGCATACAAGTATAGACTGGATCGCCTGAATTGGAATAAAACATTTCATGTTTGTTTATTTGAAAATGGTTTGATGATGCTACCCGCAAGTAGGCTAAGACGTGGATTTGCCACCCTCGGGTGGGCTTTAGAAAATATGATTTTGCCACTATCTAGTGGGCTAAACTCACAGTGAATGAATTGTTCCAATCCAAATAACCCAACCTTCACCCACAGGCATTCAGGCAGTTATATCACATAAGCACATAGCCTCATGGTAAGAATGCTATCATGGCAGTCACTCACACACATGCAAGGATGCTAAAGCATAAAACTTACCGAGTACTCCAAGCCAAAATAGAAGCTAAGTTAGAAATCC